GCATGGTACGGTTCGGTATGGTTCACTTTTGGAGGGTTTTCCACTGGGTACAGTACCTGGTACCTGGTACTTTTTTTAATACCACCTCGGTTGAGGTTCCAAGTGAACCGTACCATTACCAAAACGTGACGTGTAAACTCTGCTGATCACTGATTGGCCGTAGAGAATCGTCACTACCTGCGTCACTGAACTTACGACACAGAGACACAACAGAACTGCTAGATGTAAATCAGCACAGCCAGCGAAGGATCGAATGCAATTGTTTTGAACGAGCACACCTTTTTTTAACAACCATGGCTGTTTTGAATGCATTTCAAAAATGGCTGTTTCGTGGTCTGTTGAGGAAGTACAGATGATCCTCTCGTTGATAGCAGAGGAGCGGATCCAGCGAGAGCTTGATGGGGCGTGGCGGAATGAAAAAGTTTTCCAGGAGTCGCGGAAGTATAGGCGGCGCAACTATAACGACATGTGAATAATCCCGCCCGCTCTAAAGCGGTACTAAACTGCAGTGGAAACACAAACCGAGCCGTGCCGAGTCATACCACGCGGTGGAAAAGTGCCATGTCTCTATGACATTCTGGCCTCTACAATGTACATTTTTGGGAATTTTCTTTCAGGTGAGATTCATTATTCTGTTAACTCTCTGAAGTTTAATATTTTGGATTAGGGAATTTACTATAATCAATCAAATAATGATTATAGTAAACACAACTACATTGCAGTTGTTGCTGATTATACAAACTCTTGCACCACCAGTTCTTTAAGGGACATCTCTGACACCTGCCCGTTTGGAGAGTCTTGCACTCTGGTCAGCTCATCCTGTAACTGGGCCACAGGCAGCCCAAGACTGTAGCCCAAATCAACAAGAGCCTCCAGCAGGGGCCCTTGATACTGCCGGAGCTCGTATCGTCTCACCGTGGGCAGAGCTCTTCTGCCAGTTTGAAATGCTGCGTCAGAGTCTTCTAGATCCCTTTGGCACACCAGTATGGCACACAAGGTTGGTACCACCATAGTAGGGTTGTGAGAAGATAGTTTTTCCTGAAGTACCAACACTTTCTGGAGGCCCTCAAGGGCCCGGGAAAAGCGGCCCCCACGCAGGAGGTCATATGAAGGTTTTAATTCCTTATGAGTGAAGAACGCTAGAAACGCTTGTGATTTTCGGACACAACGGAGGGAGTAGAGCTGAGTAAGATAGTCCCTGAGGGCCACGCGCCGCTCTGCGATGTTCTCCTCTGAGAAGTTACCCGTCATTTTCTTCCTGGGCATCACAATGTCCTCCATTTCCTCGCTGAAGTCCAGCAGGAGCTCCTGATGAAGGTGGAGGAAGTCTGAGTAGCGTCGCTCGATAGCTACTCGCTCAAAGTCGTAACTACCTGAGCGGATCACCACAACCTGGTACACCTGAAGAAGAGGAATAAGCTGTGAACTTAATCCGTAGGAGACAATAAGCTTTGCAGGTTGTGTTATGTCTGGGGTAAAGGCATGTACAGCTAATAGTTTTTGATTTCCAGAACATTGCCAGAATGGACATCCTAAAGCAGGGGTGTCCAGTCCTGTTCCTGGAGATCTGCCTTCATGCAAAGTTCAGCTCCAGCCCTGATCAAACACCTGAACCAGCTAATTACGATATTCAGGAGCAATTACAGACAGGTTTGTTGGATCAGGGTTGAAGCCGAACTCTGCAGGTATGTAGATCTCCAGGAGCAGGATTGGGCACCCCTGTTCTAAAGCAAAGTTGTGATACTCAAAATCAGACTTGAGTCTGAGTCTAGACCAGGATTTTCATGGTTTTGCTCTTGTCATGGAGCATTTGGGTTCTGCCTTTGACGTGAAGCAAGTTGAGACAGAGTCCGGTCTTGAGTGATACAACACTATCCCCAGTTTCACAGACAAGGCTGAAGCCTAGTCCCAGACTAAAATGTAAGTCTGAGCTGTTTCAACTGAAAGAAATTTGCACTGACTGATCTTAAAATATATCAGTTCCTTTGTTTTGTCTCAAGACGGACACCAGTAATGTTTTTTTTTCTAAGGCATGTTTATAAAAATTACTTAAATGTCCTAATTGAACTATGGCCTAATCCTGGCTTAGTCTAAGCCCTGTCTGTGAAACCCGGTCTATAGTTATGTTTTGTTGTCTGTGCAGCTCTGGACAAGAGCACAGATTCATGTGACATTAAAGCAAAGCTAGGCTTTAAAATAGAGTGTATTTACATTTGTTTAGACCCTTTTCTGGTCTCAGTATTGACTCAGACTCAACCTCAGGTCTTGGCCTGGACTCAGACTCAAATGAAATGTGGTTGGTAGCATAAAACACTCGGACTAGTCTTACAAGTTAGTCATCTAATTTATATTCTTTAAGGTTGATCTTAACTTTTTAAGTTAATTACATTAAAATGTGGACTGGTCTATTTCAAGAGTGTCCAATCCTGCCCCTGGAGTGCCACAGTCCTGCAGAGTTTAGCTCCAACCCCAATTAAACACTTGAACATGCTAATCAACGTGCTAGTAGCTCTTACTATACTAGAATACTAGAAACTTCCAGGCAGGTATGTTGAG